GGTTGAGCCGGCCAACCGGGAAACCGCCGGTTCAACCGGCCAACCGGGAAACCGGGCAACCGCCGGTTGAGCCGGCCAACCGGGAAACCGCCGGTTGAAAACCGGCGAAACAGCGAAGCACAAACCAAACCGTGTTGATTCCATATAGGCTGTTAGCACAACCCCCCCCCCAACATGCACGTAATGAAGGAACTTCGTCACACCTTTCTACGATTTTTGACTCTGGTACTGGGCAACCGCCGGTGTAGCCGGGCAACCGGGAAAGGTGTACGAAGTTAATTACTTCATTACGCGCATGTCGGGGGGGGCGTGCTAACAGTCTACATTGAATCAACACGGTTTGGTTTTTGGAATACTAGCAAAACTTACACCTGCTGAAGGCCTCTTTAAATCTTAAAACACTGGTTTCTGCCATACAGGAATTTGGATGTTAGAGTTAATGTTAGAAGTCACGTTTGTTGCATTGCTACGAGTGTAACATCACTTTTACTTGCTGCATGTCTTTGTCCATCCACTGGTTGAGAACGCATTGTTGAGAACGATCAGCGTGGCACTCTATGGCTTGATCGGGAAAGATTGCACGGTGCAAGATGGACAATATGCGAGAGGACCTCCCTCTTAAGAAGTGTTGTATTCCTTGTGCGCTGTTTCTTTTGGTTGTTCAATCCTATTTATGACTTCTAAAACCAGTCTCACTGAACCGTTAATTTTCTTTCAAGTATCATAAGTGCAAGAAACACACATAGTTCATTAACCGTTCTGAACCGTTCTGAACCGTTCGACGTTTTTGAAAGAATTTACGTTATCTATGAACCGTTCTGAAACGTTCGCTGGATCCTCCAATTTTGGCTGATAACATCTGAACATTCTGCTGAACAATCTGGCTCCCAACACGCATCACAAGCAAGAATGTCATCCGACGACTCTCATAGTCAATTATATAGCACAAGCTCCGCCATGGGTTCTACCAAAAAGCAATCCCATACTGATATGGGCCCCCCCGCACAAATCAAGAGGCTTCATGCAATTGTTTGAGAGCAACGATTGCGGATGACATTTGATGTGTTATGTTCAGTTTCCCCCCACCCCATTTGACACATCCCAACCTATAGGGGAGGCGTGCCACTCATCCAACATGGAGCTGGCGTGCACTAATCCACAACATGAGTTTCAACATGAGCTCCAACATGACTTCCAACATCGAGCTGGACATATGGACATGGGGCAAAACGCACCTCAGACATAGAGGCCTCTAGGTATAAAGCAAAACGGGTCGCTGTCAAGGCTTCCAGTCGGTGTCGGTAGAAGGGCGTATTTTTGTTCGCGGGGTAACCACCAGCGGTTGTGAGGAATTATAGGAGGTCCCTGGTGGCAGGGTGCCACATAGGACCCCTCCACAGAAGGATCCAGCCCATGCCTGGCATGAACCTTAATGAGCCTGACCATCATCAAAGCTTGAGCCCTCTAGTTGTACATGACGGTCAGCGGCGCTCTCAAAAGTGGGTTAACAAAACAATTCTTGATATGCGCCATGAAATCTCTTGCTTGCCACGTCAAGGCCTCGCACTTTTCTTTCAGCACACTCTTGAGATCACAGGCCTTTGACCCATCTCAAACACTTGGCCACGCAATAATGTTCAAGGCCCCTCTGGGCAAAAACCCGAGCGTGGATTCCGCACAGCATGGACTTGACCTCATGAAGTCGTTAGTCAGCTGTGTGCGCACAGCGTGTTGAAGGCAAAACTTCATGCAAAACCTGTGTGCAAAATGAGCCACTCTTCTGATCAAGTCTTCGTCCAACATGCATTGGTAGAACCAGGGGTTCCCCCTGGTTGGGAGGAAATCCAAGATCCTCAGAACGACAGTCATCCAGCTGGCATGAAAGAAAGTTACAAAGTAGAACCGTTGGGGCTGTTCAGGCGCATGTGCTCGAGCGCGTGCATTTTGGGCCGTACTTGGTATAGAAGTTTTCGTTCTTGTAGGGCCCACGAAGCCAAGCCTATGGAGGACATACATGTGCACTGCACACACAAGAGCTCCATCCAAACCAAGGAACCATTGTACGCATCTCTGTACTGGAGATAGACCGTTTCAGCCCTGAGGACATCTGCTTTAGGTGGTACACCAGCTGGATGCTTTGCAAAGATGGCAGACAGCCGCGAAAGAGCCGTGAAACTATCAGCGATCCACCTCCAAAAACACACGAAAGAGATCGAACACTAAATGTAAATTCGTGAGATTCACTGGAAAGTCTGTCACGCGAACCTGTGGACATCTGTTTGGGAAATCTTCGTAGATTTGGTGCGAGAGCTCTGCAGCAAAAAGCACCATAATCCGGCTTGCAGCTTCATTGAGCTTCTTCTGGCCAATGGAAGGGTACGCTGCCGCTTTTTGTAGCAGCGCGCCTTTGGTGAAAAGTGCCGGTCGTGCTCTCGAACTGTGTGGAACGCCTCAAATGGCCAAAAGAAATCCAATCCTGTAAGGCTTTGCGCGGACGGTGCCCAAAAAAACTTTGGGCCCAAGGGTCTGTTAGCGACACACCACTTGGCATAAAGCTAGTAGATCTGCTGAAGCCGCTCGTCCTTCGTCCGCCCTTCAAAAATGGCCGAAGTCTCCGTGTACACCAAAAACGAGCTGGCAATCATGTCAGGGTATATCGCCAGGTCCAATATATGAAGAAGATCTGGATATATATATATATACCTTGGATTGTGAACTATGTTGATCAGATTCAAAAGGGACACCCTGTATAAGACCTGTTGGACGACTAGAAGGCCGAGCGTCGCCAGCAACTGAACCCAGGAATGGTTGTCAGTGGTGTTTGGCCGTTCAACTCCACAAGCGCTCAGTGGTAGTCAGCCTGGGCTTGGTCAAGTTTTTTGGTGGTAGTGGAAATGGAGACCATGATCACTGTGAACCAATTCTATTCTTAGCTTTTCATGTTTACAGACCTGTCTTAAGATGCTGTTTGGCCACGTTTCTCTATACTGCGCTCCTCGGCCCCAATTCGTGTAGAGCAAACCTGGGATGGCCATACATTTCAAAACGGGACCACTTCGTGAAACACCATGGTACCAAATTTCAAACTGCGTATACTTATAATAAGTAACCTTGGTGTGTCTCTCGCTGATCTTCCGGCAGCGCCGCACGGGCTTCGCAGAGGTAGCAACATTCAGTATGTCTGTAGGATCCTCATGACATAACTTGTTTTGAAAACGAACACCGAACAAAATCCGAACGTGTACGAGAGAAACACCCACATGATTAAATCGTCGCTGCAACTCAAACAGGCTCGCTATGAAGTCAGCATCCCCCTGCAACCCATCCAGTACAAAGCAAAAGGGGCCACAAAGCCTTTTACCAGCCATCTCGGAATTCAATGGAGAGCCCCATGGATCATGCGATGGCCATACACCCAATCCTTGGACGCACATGTTGAACAAAAGGAATTTTGCAGCTTAGGGGGTTGACAAAGTATTTCTGACCGCCAGCAAAATGCGGGTGTCAAAAGTCGCACCACTGCAGGACATAATGGAACTGTCAGACCATAGTCCTGAAAATTGCGCAGGCTTGAAGTCGTCACAATTCCTGTTGGAAAAATCTACAATCTTGCTACTGCAAGTCAGGGTCTGCCGGATAAAGATCTAGGTTCATTGCCAGATCGCTATTGTACCTCCAATACCCCTCTAAAGCTAGGCAATCCAGTGAAGATGTAGTGGAACAAACCCCGGCAATGAAGGAAGATGCTGGCCACCAACTCATGGGGTAGGAGCACCTTTATGCAGAGAGTTCCTAGGGGACAAAATCTGTCCTTTATTGATCTTTGGGGTATGCTTTAAAGCCAATCGCATAAAACAGAAGAAGTTGAAGATACAGCTGAAGCGCGTGTTGCATCAACGTGCTGCTCATGGGTTAATGCGGAGTATGGGGTGCAAGTGCGGAACCAGGTGAAGAAGACTTGGCAGTCAATGAGAGAGCAAATGAATGAGGGATTGGGAGAATTGTTGCCTGATGGCACATGCCGCATTCGTGACTTGGTGACTTTCTTCCTGAATGTGAAGAGTTTCCGAAGCCAACAAGGAACCAACATGTTGAGTCTGCAGCAGGTGTTTGACAAACTTTTTGTTTGGCTCATTGGACTTTTGTCAAGGAAGTTGGATGAATTGTTGGTGGGCATTGCGCTAGAAAGACTTGATGCTGGCTTTGTCCCTCCTGCGCGTGTGACCCAAGGGGGGCATGTGAAGGTAGACCCATTGGCAGTTTGGCAATTGGTTCAAGATGCGCGTGCAAAGAAGCATTCATTGAATGAAATTCCCGTTTCAAGGACTGCTCTGAGTCGCAGGCATGGTATTGGCAGGCAGCCTATTTGAATGCCTATCTGAAGATGGCAAAGGTACTGCTGAGGAATGCGATGCAATTGTCTCTTGTGACAGATGCTTCTACACACAGCAATAGAGAAGTTGTTGTGAGTCTGTGTCACGCTGATGATCACTCTATGACTCTATGATGGTTCCAATCACAATATGCAAGCAAGGCCAAATCAATGTCGCCGATGTAGATCTGCCAAGCTTCTCGCAGCTGAGCAACATTGCAGAGAAACAAAGAATTGAAAGAGAAAGTGCATATCACTTCATCAAGGCAATCAGCCATGAACTGGATGTGTTGACTTCTG